CCAAACTAGGACGAAACAGCTGTCCAGTACTCCCAGGTTTTCCAATGGTTCTCTAACCAATGTCAGCTCATGATGAAATTCTGTAACCAATCAACCAAATCCCTACAAACCCATACTTGAATGTCTGGTTTAAGTAGGACAAGTACATCTGCATATTACGTATCTTGAGTACCCGTCGACATCCTTCATTTTCTGAAGTAGTGGGTGTTAGACGTAAAGTTCTCATTGATGCAGTTCATGAGATATTGATTACTCATTTGTGTTTTAAATTTCCGTGGATATGTAAACGATAGATGGGTGAAGTTCAACAATAGCCTTCCAGGAGTGCGAACGCTCCAGTGACCTTGAACTCACACTAGTCATTGGCTGACGGTACCTGTCACTATCATAGCTGAAATATAAACGCTATTCACCAATTTAGGAGCAAATTTCACTTGGATCACGTTTGTAAGTAATGTTTGGATAATGTGTTAATAGCTCATTAGGGTTATGGTTAGGATCAGGGTTGTAATTATGGTTAGGGTTAAGACTAGGGATAGATTTAGAGTTGATGTCATTTATTTTAATTCGTTTTCTTATCCACATTTTCCAGGTAAGCAGTCATCGGTCCTCTTACTGCAAACCGAAGTAATTCAACCGAGGGCTTTTGGGGAGCACTGCACAACACGATAAGAGAGACAAACAATTCACAAAAACAGCTCATCTTTAGTCACCTCGGTGAATACATGTACAGAAACCAGTCTAACTTGGCAACTGATACTGCTCATTATAACTGGGACGTATTTTTAAGTCATACCAGAGAAAGATAACCTGTTTAATGTGTTTTGATTCATTTTCTTGCAAAAATACATCATTTTTATGCAAAAGTCACTTATTTTTATGAATGGTCGGCTGAAGATCACTCGTGCGGTCGTGTGTCGGTGGCACAGTGGTTAGGACTCTCGCCGACCATGCACATGGTCCGGGGTTCGACCACCTGCCAACGCACACCCAATATCTATGGTCAGCCTGCAAAATTTGGGCTACCGATATCCATGCTGAAAATCACATACTTGTACTGAAAATACGGTGTGGCATCAAGCAGTAATAAAAAAAATAAATCCCTTGGGACGCTATTGTTGAACTTTGCCGATAAATACTCTGTATTGTGAATAAGAACGGTTGCTGCTGTCGCAGTTAACTCTGACTTCTATGTCTACTTTAGTGTGAGAAATATATTTCCAAGTGATCACTGGGCTATAGGGTCATGCTTCAATGTGTATTATAGCCAAAATAGAAAACACCCGACAGACACAGTGTACACTCCGTTATAACACTGGCGTTATAGCATAATTTTATAATAGAATAATTTCTGATAATCTAACCATTGAGGCTACCAGTTGGTCGGTCGGAACTAATTCACCAAAGTATACCGGTGTGGGTTGTTTGTTTAGTTTATCTGTGTCTATGTGTGTGCGGACTTTTATTTATTTTGAAAGTGAGGTTAATTCTCAATTTGTAACCATCCTCACGAGAGGAAAGGAAACCAGAGTAGAAATCAACATTTTTTGTTTCCATGTAATAGGGTAGAAAATTCTGAGTTTTATTCATCAATTTATGGTACTTTATGACCACCCCTAAGGCATCTGAGGGTGACAGGGAGGAGATCGTGTGGTGACAGGATGAGAAACTGCAGACGATCGTGGGGCCAGCTTAAAGTATCTGTACAGAATAAGACGAAGTGGAGATTTTCTGTTGAAGCCCAATTTTTCACGCAGAACCCAAGGGAACAATAATAATAATATATGGTCAGAATAATCCTACTAAACAATGGATTTGCCTATATTTTATAAAGTTCCAGACAGAGAATAATAATATTAGCTTTATTCTAGACACTGTTTATAAAATGTACAGAATTCCCAACCAAATTTATTGCGTAACACTATCTCTTCGTTCAACATCTTCAGGTAAAGTAGTCAGTGATAACAGACTGCATGAGATGCAATTGCGTCTGACCTGAGGCGTAAACCAGTCTCTTATGATATTTCTCCTTGGTCTCCTTCTAGAAATACACGACATTTGTTTGAAAGCCAATTAAAAAATACGTACAGTAGTACATTTTGAGACCCAAAGAGGTACCTGAATAATTGAAGACTTTGACAAGGTTAGTTTTATTTCTCAGACAGTAGCAGTTTGTATTGAAAATCTCAGGAGAAGTTATTTCATGTATTGGGATACACTGCCACGCTGGATTTTGTTTTTCCTATTGTTGTAAACATTTTCAGTACTCACGAAAGTAGGAAATACCACTAGAGATTATATTTTAATGAATTAAAAGAAAGTAGATAAGAGAAATTATATGAAATATAGTGATGGAAGTTTCAGGTAGCTCAAGTTTTAATCAGGCCACCTCATTACCAGGAACAGATTTTTCATGAACCATACTTAAAAATATCAGTTGCCTAAGCTGAAGAAGGTAGGACGTGACATGAACCATAACCCACCAACTGCAGGCTTGGCTTTTCATTCACCGAGCCATATATTCACTGATAGTATATCGAGACACATTATCTAAGCTGATTGTTAATTGTTCCTCCAGCTAATTGAAATTTCAGTCTGTAATACAGACAACTGAAAAGTTTGGTTTCACACAGCTCGATATGATTTCAGGATATATACAAGTGCTTCTAATCAATATATATATGTGCATTATATTCGAAGTTATTAGAGACCAACCATTTTTGGTTACAGTTAGTGTCCTTTGTTGAAATACTATGCCGTATTGTAGATATAGTAACATCACACACTAGAACCATGAGTGGAACCCAAAAAAGGAAGTGGCGAGTTGGACGTTCGAGAGTGACATGAAGATCATGTGAGAAGAAATTGAAATTTTATGGCCACTCATGGATTCACCTAAGAAAGTTTGCAGAGAACAAAGGGGAATAATAATAATAATAATAATTTGCTTTATTCCAAAACAGTACTTGTGATACAGAATGGAATTCTCAGCATTTTTACTACAGTATTGCATCCAGTTAGTACATTATCAATAAATAAAATTCTACATAGATTAAGGAAATCTCAGTTCATTATGACAACAACATATTGGCATGTCGGTAGCAAAGCCAAAGCTGAACAGTGTTTGAAGGTGTTAGAAAAGTAGGTGCTATCATATTTACTGGCGTAAGCGATAGAAAGAAACAAAGCAGCACATAACGGAAAAAAAAGAGAGAGAGAGAAAAGGAAAAGAAAGAAAGAAAACGTTGTACCTATAAATGATGTGAGTTGGAAAGACGAGATCCAGTTGTACTACTGACTATTTAATGAATTATAGGTGTCACGCCTAATGCTTTCTTTATCGCACAGAACACGAGCTAAGTAGGGTATGGTTGAGTTTTTGTACTTGCTGGTGCGAGCATATAGTTTTCTATATAGGCTTCTGGTTTTGCCTGATGAGATGCAAGGGGAGAGTTGTGAATGAAGAGGGTGGTGTGAGTTAGATAAAATGGATTTGGCCCATTTTTCACATGAGTCCATGTGCCTGTCAACCAGAATATTAACAAGCTGGTTAAGTGGCACGTTGCTTACCCTGCTGACAACCTTTAACATCCTGCGTAATATGTTATAGTCTTTCTTCAGTAGCCCGGGAAAAACTAAGGGGGAACAATAGAGAATAATAGGCAGGATGCGAGAATTAACGAATTGTAGGAGTAAGGGTTGGGTTATACCAGAATGTTTTAACTTCTTGATGTAGAAGGTAAGACGGAATATTTTCTTGGAAATCGCCAAGATATGAGACGACCAGGAAAGATCAGCAGATAGAATGACGCTAGTATTTAATTTCCGACTTGGTTTCTATTTCAGTGCCATCTATGTTGCATACCTCGTGAGAGCCAACCAGTTTGTTTAGGTCGGATTTATGCCTAAAGGTGAAATTGACTGTTTGGCATTTGGAGGGGTTTAGGGTAAGACCGTTTTCCTTGGACCACTGGCTGATTTCTGACAGAAAGCCATTAAGTTTAGAGCAGTCACTTTGACATTTGACAGGCAAAGATACAGTCAGGTCGTCAGCATATTTGACAAAATTAATGTCATTTGAAGATGGTAAGTCATGTAGAAAGAAAGAAAAGAGAAGTGGGGAGAGTACAGCACCTTGGGGGACACCAGCTTCAGTGAGCGCAGCAGAGGAGGATTTACCTTTGTATACGGTGTACTGCATTCTGTTAGAGAAGTAGGAATGCAACCAGTTAGTGACCCAGGACTCAGTTTTTGTCATAGAGAGCTTATTTAGCAAGAGACATCTAGGTACAGAGTCGAAAGCAGAAGTGAAGTCGAGAAACGTGCAACGGACGTATTTGGCACCTTTATCTAATGATGAGACGATACTGTTGTGTAAGACGGCTGCAGCGTCTAAAGTGCTCCTACCCTGTCTATAGGCAAATTGTTTGGGGTCTTCAAAGCTTTTAAGGGAGGGTTCAAGTTTAAGAAGTACTAGTTTTTCCATAAGCTTTAGAAACGGGGAAGTGATGGCAATGGGTCTGAACTTTACGTTCTTGCTATTTCCAGGTTTAGGGACAGGGACTATTTTAATGTCTTTCCATGCAACAGGTACGACATTTTTGGAGAAAGAAGCATTTAGGATGTTAGTTAGTGGAGAACATAAAGCATCTGCACATTGTTTTAGAACATATGCAGGTATACCATCAGGGCCAAGGCTACGTGAGGGCTTGAGCGTTTTAAGACATTTTAGAACATCGAGAGCATTAAAGTCATGAAAGTTATCAGCTACATGATTGGAGGTGTCATAGTGAAGCCCTTTATATTCCACTCGGAACCCAGGGTAATAATAACACGAATATTAGGACACTGTTTATCTAAAGTATATTTTTTCAGATTTCATTTAAAATATACTAACAGGGAACACATAATCTAGTTTGGTTCTTTTTTTAAAATAAGTGTGTTTTTTCAAAAGTTTACATTATTATTTCAATGACATTCACCACCTGATATCTTACTGGTTAAAATTCATTTATAATACTCATTTCTCATTGGATAATTCAACTTACGCGCCAACTTCTCGCAGTCTTTTGTTTAAATACATCAAAATACAAGGTGAGATAAGAGAAATTCACTTTTACACACATTATGCTTAATCAATATAATTACCTTCCAATTCGAATATTAATTACTATTATTATCATTTTATTTTTCCTATTATTTGCAATTCATCCATTCAAATGGTTTTTAATTAGTCAGCAAATGCATTTAACCCCTGGTAGTAGATTATATAATCAATGGTTACAGCCGACCATACCAATTCCAATGCAATTCTATTTTTTTAATCTAAGCAATCCATTAGAATTTCAATCGGGTGGAAAACCAATTTTACAACAATTAGGCCCGTATACTTATCATGAAAAACGTTTCAAAGTTAATGTTAAGCATGATGCACAAAATGGAACACTTGAATACAATGAAATTAAACAATATTATTTTAATAAAACTGCATCTATCGGTGATGAAAATGACACAATAACAAGTGTTAATTTAGGCTTTATAGGTATTGCCTCAAAATTATCCTCAATGCCATGGATTATAGATGCTTTAATTGAAATTATTGAACATCATAATAATTATAGCCTGTTTCAGACAAGAACAGTAAAAGAATTATTATGGGGTTATAAAGATGACTTTTTAACGCTATTATCAAATTATTCAATCAGTGTTCCAATGACAGAAATCGGTATATTAATCAATAAGAATAATACACCAAGTGATACTATCCTGATAAATAATGGTGTTAAGAATCAAAATATGTTGGGGAAAATTATTGATTTTCATGGGATGCAAATATTACCTTATTGGAAATCGTTAACAGCGAATATGATCAATGGTTCGGATGGTACACTGTTTCATCCATTTATACATAAACATGAGAAACTTTATGCATTTGCCAAGGAGATATGTCGTTCAGTAGAATTTGTCTTTGATTCAGAGACTGAAATCAATAATTTACCAGCTTATAAATATACTCTATCAGAGGATACATTCAAGTCAGCGAAGACATGTGAAGCGAATAAAGGATTTTGTTTAAATTGGCCTAATTGTTTCAATGATGGTGTTTTAGATATGTCAACATGTCAACCTAATGCACCGGTGGTTGTTTCACAGGCACACTTTTTCAATGTATGTCAAAAGAATCTTTTAATTTGAATTATTTTTTGTGATATTATTGTAGTTTGTGCTGAGTAAGATAGTGCCATCATTTATTTCATTGAGTTCTCATCAGCTGCGTACAGCCAAAAAAATTATTAAGTTTATATTTAGAATAGTGTAGCGGTAAATAATTCCCCAAAATTATTGACCACAACAATCATCACTGAACATCGGATGCGGACCCTCACTGTTTAAGTCGACTTCTTTAGCTGAAGGCTTCCGGTCAGTCATCCATGCCATTTGGTACTCCGTCGTGTCACGTTCGTGCATGATCACTAGCCAGTTAGGCATTCATCTCGGTCTACGATTTGGTCCCGAAATATATCTCGTAATTTGGGCGATCAACTGTCTTGTTTTGCTTTGCTTTTTGTCTACGCTGAACGAATTCTATCGAAGTTGTTGGTATTAGATCTTGCGTTAATATACTCCGTACAATCCGAGAACATCGATACCGTCAGCCTCTTAACTGGTGAGCCCAACCACGAACTTCATCTTTGGTAAATATGCAGACAAACCCGGTGAGTTCGTCCCATTTTGTATTTGTTCCTGTACTGTTTTCAAACTATATATATTCCGCCATGAGTGATCAAACTCCTAAGGACATTCGTATTCACTCAACTGCCAAAACCATTCAGCTCGTACCATTTTGGCCAGATAATGCTGAAACATGGTTTCAGATAGCTGAGTCTGATTTTTGTGAGCATGGGATAACTGATCAACGTTCACAGTTCCTTGCAGTTATTCATGCCCTACCGCGGGAATTCAGCAAGTGCATAACTGTGCAGATGTCGAGTCCAGAGGTAAGTAACTCGTACGAGTTGCCTAAAGCATCCTTCCTAAGGAGAAACGTCCTCACGGATCGACAGGGTCTGGAAGAATTATTTCATAACATCGAATTAGGGCGTCAATCAGCCGTGAGCATGCTGACAAGAATGAGAGAAGTTATTGGCCAACGTCAGTTTGATGAAGGACTTTTCAGAGAACTCTTCTTATCCAAACTGCCACAGTCAGTACAGACTGTACTTGTGACACTTCAGGGTGTTCTTATGGATGACTTAGCTGTTTCTGCAGATAAAATTCTAGAAATAACTAAACGGCCAGTTACTGAAATATGCTCAGTTGCCAAACAGACTTCGAGTAAGGATACTGCAGTGATAGAGTTATGCAACTCCATCCAGCAGATGCTTAGGTCAAACATGCCTTGTAATTCCTCCTACCGTCGTCCGAACTCCCCTCAACGGCGAAACTCACGTGGTCGATCTAAGTTCAAGCCACATGCTCTGGAAAACCTATGGCCAGGAAGCGAAATGTTGCCGAAAATAGTTTTAACATAGTTACAAATGTTACTTGATATCAGTCGACAGGAGACTCTAAACTCAGAAATTACACAAGTAGTTTTTACTCATACAGTTCAAGTTTAAACAAAGAAAAGTAAAGGTTTGTGCAAGAGGTGATTTGGATGAAACAATTATCAGGCATCTCATTGACAAGTATCATGAGGTGACTACCATGAAATCCTTCAAGATTATCATTAGACAGAATAGTTCAGTTACTCTCAAGTTTAGCAATGCAATCTCCACCAGACGCCTTCAACCCGATTTACATATTTACACCTTGTTATAGTAACTGGATGCTCCAACGGGTTGATCTCTGACGAAATCTCAGTACGAATACAGAGGGCTAGTTTCGCATATGCCAGTTTACGCGTAGACGCGATATCCGAATATCGACCAAAGGGCGTGTGTACTGCTCAACAGTCCCCTCCGTCCTCCTTTATGGCTGTGAGACCTAGCCATTGAGAGCGGAAGACATGAAAAGATTAGCTGTATTCGATCATAGGTGTCTGCGTTCTATCTCCCGCGTGAAGTGGTATAATAAGGTGAGCAATATTGAGGTTAGGCGTCGAGTGCTAGGTAAGGCGGGGAAATCAGTCGACGAGACTGTGAAATTACATCGACTGAGATGGTTAGGACATGTGTTACGCATGTATGCCTAGTCATCGCCTCCGTCGACGGGCAATGTTAGCTAACATAGGGTCAGGCTGGAAAAGAGCTAGCTAGTGGCGGTCAAATGAAAACATGGCACCAGTCAATGAAATCTACAACACTTAGTCTAAGCCAGCCAGTTAAGGAGGTGTAGACTTCCTTGTTGGGATCCTCGGGACGGTAAACACCAATGGCTGGAGACAATTGGTGATATGGCTCAAAATCGTTCTCATTGGCGCAGATGCATCCACTCCTTGTGACTTATAATTCCCAATGAAACTATATTGTTCTTCGATATTACTATTCTTTTTACCGCATATCCCTGTCTACTGTCTCTTATATGCATTTCTCCTACTTTCTTCTCTTCCTTTGTTTGCTACATGAAGTGTGGTGACTTGAACTGCCGCACATATGTGCAAAGTTGTATGTCGAAAACCGACCGACTGAACTGGATGCCTGTACTCCCTCTCTCTTTATTACTCGGTTACGCAATCTCCGGTTTTAACCTCTTCGCCTTCCTCTATAAAGTAACTTTGTCTGTCCTTTGTTTCAATGATATGAGTTGAAATCAACACGCTGTTACTCACTTAATAGGATACACACAATCCTACTAATTATTTGTCCCTATTACATAACTCTTTGACCATTTATCCAAGCCTTTATTTCTCTATTTAAACTTGAACCTTTTAAACACTGTTTTAATAAGTTTAGAGACTGTCTCCCTTAACATTTGAAGGTATGTTAAAATTGTTGTGTACATAAACTTAATCATTTCTTTAGGCTGTATTTAGCTGATGAGAAGCCGGTGCAATAGATGGTGACACCATCTGCTTCCTCACGAGCTGCTGTTCTTGTTTTGTATCTTCAAAGCTTTGACATCTGATCACAGAAGTTTTATCATCATAATTGATATCATCAGAAATAACTCCTAAATGTCGTACCAGCTGAAGTATTCTTTGAGTTCTAGTGAGTATGTAATTTAGATTTGAATATATTTAACTTCAGTGGAAGTCTGGTGGTTATATGGCGCTGTAATATTTGTAAGTAAAGAGATACTCAAAAGTTATACTAACTGGTCATTGGATAATGCCTTAACCCTGCAGGAGGTTAGTCATAGGCCAGAAAGTTTCAGCTGCAATGTTGATGAAGTACGTTTGAATCTCAATAGGGGTGTCTGTCTTTTTAAGGCTACTTTTGCGGATTTTGTCCAATGTGAATGAGTGGGAAGCCTTGATTCAAGGTTTTATGGCAACTGCTCGCCCTCTGCCCCCAACTATCGGACAAATGTTATATTTCTTATGCAGTTGGCTTAACTTATTATTCCCTTGGGTCTCAAGTAGGACATAGGGCTTCCTGCCGTCCTCTTCAACTGGGCCTACGACTGATCATAATCTCTCATTTCCTCCTCGCATGATCTTCTCCATGTCACTCTCGCATTGACGACCCACTCGTCGTCGCTTCCCACTGGGATTCTAATCAAGCGATGGCCTGCGTTGCACGCAATGACATTCGACGGTCTCCTCAACATATGCACGATCCATCTCCATTTTCTCCTGCATACTTGCTGAGTAATAGGTCCTTGATCAGCTCGTCCCTAGAGTTTCTTGTTGCTAATTCTTTCTGAGTGTCCATCTTATCTTCAATATGGAGCCAGTCAAGGTAACTGTTGACAAAAGCCTGCAACCTGTTGGAGATGATTTTCGTGACACGCAGTGCAAGTTTCTGACCTGTATAGAAGAACTGACTGACCGACTTCATATTGGTGTTGAAAATCCAAATCTTGTTCGTTATGGTGAGTGCGGAAGATTTCCAAACTGGTTTCACATTGGTGAAGGCATATCTTGCCTTTCCGATTCTGACTTTGACATTTTCGTCATGTGAAGTATCAGTTAACTTGAATAAATAACAACCAACATCTGCTGCACAAGAGGCGGCTTTCGTGGCCCATGTAACCAAGTGGATAAAGTGTTTGAAACGATGACTGTAAAGTTCAAATCTCAGTGCGAACAACATCGCTCATCAAAGAGGCAAGTATATCCAGCTGACTAGTTTCAAATAGGATGGAATAGGCATCCGCAAACGTATTCTGGAACACTATCCAGCTTGGCTAGCCAAAGGAGAAAAGAAGACTACTAGGAACCCCATCCTCGATCACCTTGTCAACTCTGGACATCCAGCAACCCCCACATGAATGCTTCACAGTTGTACAAATAGTCCCTCAATATCTTTCGAAAGGACTTCGTGTATGCTATCTGTACATAGCTGAATTATTGGCTATTCGGGATCTGAAACCGGACCTCTGCATTCAAAAGCACTACATACATTCACTCGCTCTACCGTGGCCAGAGTAGCGTTCCCACTACAATTTTGCTTCTTTTTATTATGCAAGTTTACCATTATTATTGTTATTGTCATTATTATTATTATTGTCATCATCCTTATTTTGTTATCACTCGATTACTGTGTATTAATAACATTGCGTCTTCATATAGATTTTATAAAAACCCTTTATCGTCTTTTCACTAGTTCTTTTCTATTCTACACAACTGTATTGATTAGTCATTTTATTACGCTTATTACGTCATGCCAATTTCTGCACCCTTATTCTAATTCCCAGTTAGTCACCCTTTCTAGATTACACCTTACATTACACGTAATACATTTTTGAGGACATATTTTACCAGTATCTGATTGGTCTTATGAATTCTTTATTGAATATAATTACGATTGTACAGTACGTCGGTGGCACAGCGGTTAGGATTCTCGCCGACCATGCACATGGTCCGGAGTCCGATCCCCGGCCACAGACGCACTTATTTACCTCGGTAAGCCAGTAATAAAGCTGGTAAACAGGGAAGGCTAGGCAACCCCATCCTGTAAAAATAAACACCATTGCTACAGAAACTTCAAGCCTCTAGCTCGAAGCCCAATGTTTCACTAGGAACGTGAAGGAATCGAAAAAAAGATTGTACAGCTGATGAAAAT